TCCATCCCATCTTGCCACCAAGCACTTCTGTTCATCTGCCAGGTCCTTAGATCCACCACCACAGCCTACTCCAGGGTGGAGAGGATCTGAGGAAAAACTCCAGTGCCGAGGGGTCCTAAGAGAGGGCAGACCAAGAAAGACCCCCAAGGACACAGTCAGCCACAGCAAAGATTGGACCAAGACACCAAGACTCTCCTGTCCGCATCTGAAGGAAGAGATGGGCAGGTGCCAATGTAAAAATTCCTCCAACAACCTGAAAAGCAACATGATAACACCAGAATCCAGCAAGCACACAACAGGAAGACCTGAATCTTCATAGGCATATTTTTCCTCAGGTTGGGGAAGCTTTTTTCTATGATTTTGTTAAATATTTTTTCTGTGCTTTTGAGTTGAACTTCTCCTTCTTCTGTACCTGTTATTTTTAGGTTTGGCCTTTTCATGGTGTCCCATATTTCCTGGATATTTTGAGCTAAGCATTTGTTAGATTTAATGTTTTCTTTAACTGATGAGTCTATTTCCTCTATTGTATCTTCAGTGCTTGAGATTCTCTCTTCCATTTCTTGTATTCTGCTGTTCATGCTTGCGTTTGTGGTTCCTGATTGTTTTCTCATGATTTCTGTTTCGATAATTCCCCCAGTATATGTTTTCTTTATTGCCTCTATTTCCATTTTCAAGTCCTGAATCATTTCCTTCATAGGTTTGATTTCTCTTTATTGGTTTTCTTTAAGTGATTTGCCAATGTCTTTCAATTTTTTGTTTCTCTTTTCCTCCATTTCTTTACAGGAATTTCTCATTTCCTCTTTTAGAGTTTCAAACATTCTCTTGAAGTTATTTTTAGGTCATTTTCTTCTGCTTCATCCACGTTTGGTTGTTCAGTTCTTGCTGTTGTAGGGTCTTTAGGTTTTACTGGTGTGGTGTTGCTCTTTGTGGTGTAGTGTGTGATCTTACCTTTTTCTCTAATAGGTGTGGTTGGGGCTGTCTGAGATTTTGTTGCATAATCTTCAAGGTGCCAGTGAATCCAATGGTACAGTCAGTGTCACAGTTCTAGTTACCCCGTTGGTTACTCCGTGTTCCTGGAAATAGCTCAGTGCTCCTGTGCTTTGCTCTGCTTTCTTGCAGTTTGCTGTCTCAGGCCTACTTTGGCCTAGGTTGCAGGATTTGCCCTGTTTCTCTAAATCCTGGTCTGGAATCCCTCCTGCAGAAGTCCCTGGGTTGGAGTTGGACCTGGAAAGGCCTCTGGTTCTGGTTTACTGCCTCGGAGGTCCAGACTTGGCTGTCTCTGGAATCGCAGAGAACCTGCTTACTCCCTCCGAGGTCCCAGACTCACGCTCCGACCTGCAGAAGTTCCAGGTTCCTCCCTATTCCCTTTGATGTCCCAGACCAATGCCTGAACCCACAGAGGTCCTGGCTCAGGCTTACTCCCTCTGAGGACCCAGACTCATGCCTGGCCCTGCTGAGATCTCTGGTTCCTGCCTATTCGTTCCGAGATCCCAGGTTGACTGACACCCAGATTGGCAGAGGTTCTGGCTCAGGCCTAGTTCCTGGGAGGTCCTAGACCCATGCCCAGACCCACCGGGGTCCCAGCTTAGGCCTTCTCCCTTGAAGGTCCCAGATTCACATCCAGGCCCTCTGTGGTCTCTGGCTCTGGCTTACTCATTCAGTGGTTACTCCCCTGTACCTGTTCTGGTGGAGATCGCTGACTCTGGATCTAGTTGCTGGCTCAATCCTGATCTGCCTGTGTCCTAGGACTGGGTTGGCTTCCAGGGCTGGATTTGCTCCTGGCTTCTGCTCCTGGTGGAGCTTGCTCGCTCTCTGTCCTAGACAGCTAGTTCAGTCCCACTCCAGTTCCGGTGGAGATCGCTGACTCGGAGTCAGGTTGCTGGCTCAATCCTGGTCTGCCAGTGTCCTGGGAATGGGTTGGCTGTTTCTTATTATTTTATCAAATTTATTTTAGCACACAAGATATTCCCTCATTTAGTCATTCTAATAATGGACCTAGGCTCATATATAAGTTTAATTTGTGTATACTCATTTATTGTGTGCCCCCCATAGCCCACAAATGGAGATCAGATGGAGATTCACAAGAGTGGATTCTCTGCTTTTACCTAGGTCTGTAGAGATTAAAGTCATGGCATCAAGTTTAACAGTAGTCATAGACATGAGTAAGGGAATGGGGTGAGAACTGGGAAAAGCAAAAGTGTAGGGTTAGAGCCTGGCCTGAGGGAAGGTGTCTGATTGCAGGAGCTTTTGAAGCTGTGCCTGGGTAAGACTGGAGGGGCAGGCTGGACCTGAGTGATGCTCTGTGCCTGGAAGCTGGCCAACAGTGGGGCTCAAAGCTGAGGCATGACTCAATTCAGCATCACATGATGAGATATTTTTCCATCAGCCTCCTTGCCCAACCCTAGCTCAGGTCCCTGGCCTCTTCTTACCATGTTGGGAAACCACAGACTGCCCAATTTCATAAAACTTGGGCAAAGCTGTCAGTGTAAGTTAGTGTAAAGAGGAAAAACATGCAAAAGAAATGTAAAATGTACTGACTAGCATTAAGTTTTCTCTTGCATATTTACAATTGTTTATTGATAATATCATAGTACATTTTTATCTTTTGTTAGTATTTTATTTTTTATTTCCAATAGATAACCTCTGTACAAAATATCCTCTTGGGTTAATCATGTGATTCATTGGTAAATATCAGGTATGCTGCGAAAGCCTCATTATATTACTCAAACACATGTGTCGCCTGGCTTTTCTTCAGTCTGTGTAATCAACACTTGATGCTCAAGGGCAATATGTGCCCGCTGTCTTTAATTGATGTGGGAGTATCTTCTTTTTGTGTTGATTTCATTTGTTAATAAAGAAACTGCCTTGGCCCATTTGATAGGCCAGCCCTTAGGTGGGTGGAGTGGACAGAACAGAATGCTGGGAAGAAGGGAAGTGAGCCAGATGCCATGCCTCTCCTCTTGAGGTCAGATGCAATGGAGCTACCCACCAGGTCAGACATGCTGAATCTTTCCCGGTAAGCCACCACCTCACGGTGCAACACAGATTATTAGAAATGGGTTAAGCAAGATGTGAGAGTTAGCCAAGAAGAGGCTAGATATAGTGGGCCAGGCAGTGTTTAAAAGAATACAATTTGTGTGTTGTTATTTCGGGGCATAAGCTGGCCAGGCGGCTCCTACTACACTTAATTTCCAAATATGTTTGGGAAATGTTGAACACAGAAGTGCTAAGCAAGTTTCTTCACTACAGGTCGTTCTCAGAGTTTTTACTATGCTACTGTTCACTGTGAGTGTGCAACGAGGGGATACAGTAAATAGTTGATCAAATATGATCACCATCTGGGGTGTATTGTAATGCTAGTGTGTGCAAAGCTCTGGGCTCAATCCTGGGCACTAAAAAAGAAAGACATCGATTGTCCAAGGAAGCACTTTTGCTTTATCATGAGATGCTCATTTTGCTCAAGGTCCATGAGGGCTACAAATATGCAGTGAATGAGAAGTGTCTTCATTTAGCTAATGAACACAAGAAGGACATATATACAATACAGGGCATAGACGATATCACATGGGAGAGGAACAAACCGTGCAATGCTTGGCTGACATCTCATGAGCTCATTCATACTCACATGCAAGTGCCCATTCTTGGCTTATCACTGTACTAAGATCAAGGGCCTAGACCTGGATTTGCATACATGCAGGTCTAGCAGAATTGGGGTATTTGGTGGTTATGTCTCCACATTCCCATTCTTGTTCTCAATTTGATATATTGGCAGGTTTGAATGTTTTCATACTTTTCTTGGTCCAGTAAGACTCTTAGTGGCCAAAGAACATTACCAAACATTCCCTTTATACATCTATACATCATAAAATCACGACATACTAGTTACAAACATTACTATTAATGGGGGAAAAATGGATGTAAAGAGCAGTCTTGGTCCAAGCACTTTGGAAGTTGAGGTAAATTCAATGAGACTTTCCTCCCTAGAGTAATCCGTGGCACAGCTTTCATCATCCCGAGTAGCTCTTACTGCTTATGAGAGGACCTCAAGTTCCCCAGGGATGGAGGCTTGGTTTAATGCTATGAGCTTATTCCTGGAATCTTGAGTGTTTGCAGACACTGTGGGAGGTAACCCTGAAGCTGGGCATAGCAGTGCACTGTGTCATCCTAGAACTTGGGAGGCTACAGCAGGAGGAACAGGAGCTCAAGCCTTTTAAACAGTTCAAGGCCAGTTTAGGCTGTGTGAGACCCTCAGTCCAAGTAAGTGCTTACCCACTGTGAAGCCACCTCATTCCCGCAAACAAGTGTCCCTGTGGTGTATGGTCAGGGTTTGCCTCCCAGTTTCCCCATTCTCACCTATCCTGGTTTAGGAAAGTTATCTCCTACTCTGCTCTGACATTTGAACTGGACAACCCCAGCCTAGGTGTAGGTTTCTTTCTGTGTTTGAGACAAGGGCTGGCTATATTGCCCAGGATGCCTCAAATTATCCTCTAAACATAATCTTCATCATCACATTCTTCTTGTCCTTGAAGAAACCAGGCAGGCACGTAGTCCACAAATATACACAAAAAAAAAAAAAAAAAAAAAAAAAAAAAAAAAAAAAAACTCATAGACATAAAAAGCAAAAAAAAAAATTAAATTAAAAAAGAAATTGAAGGACAAATGAATAAAGCTTGTAGAGTCAGGCATGGTGGCCACACCTTTATTCCCAGCACTGGGGATACCAAAGCAGACTATGTCTGTGAGTGTGAGGCCAGTCTGGTTCACATAGTGAATTACAGGAGCTATGGTGAACAACCGTATGTCAAATGAAACAAGACAAATAAACGAGCTAAAAGAACAAACATGTACCTTTATTTTTTTATGAGCTGTAGTTTCCAGGAAGGCTGAGGAGATGGTTAGAGCAACATCTCTGTGTCCTCCTGCTTCAGCCTCTGAAATGCTGACTAGAGGTATGCCTCCAACCCCACCCCTGCTGTGGGTGTATAGCCAAGGGGATCAGATCCAGGACCTCTGGCATGCTAGGTCAGTCTCTGTGAACTGCACAAATCCCTCAGCTCTATCATAGCTCAAATTCTTTAATATACTCGATGACATCAAATATGATGCTTTGTGGGGAAGTTATTTTGACACATGGGCATTTGTCGTGACATACCCAAGCTCCAGAATTTTAACTAATTTGCACATAATTTGAATTTAAGTTTTGACATAGTAGCCTCCCATAAGCAGGTTATATTATCCTTATTGATTTAGATCTGATTTTTATACTCAAATTCTTAATAATTTTAAAATAGAAAATTCATGGTAAAGCAAATAGCAAAATAGTAAGTGTAATAGTTTAAGAGTTTGAATTTTTTGGTTAAAGGAATGAAACTAAAACATGGGAACTTTTAAAAAATTCAACGAGAAAGTATAAACAAAATTATAAAGCATGCTAGGGTCCCACTCCTGGATGCCAGAGCAAAGGGCAGGCCATATGTGCATATGGTAAGCAATGGTAAAAGCATTTCAGGAGAAAGTACAAAAACGAGATTTCTATGACCTGTCAGAAAATAGAGACAAATACTGTTGCTTCTGTTATGGGAGCATTGCCCAGGAAGCAATGGGAAGGTGTTTATGTGAAGGCGTAAGTCACGAACAAGGCAACACCAGTTTGGAGTTATGATTAATAGGGTGTTATTTATTTAAAGGGGAAAAAAACTTACAGATCACAATCCCAGACAACAGCCATCTGCACAACCAGGAAGGGAGTCTAGTCTCCAGCGGAGCAGGAAGAGAAGAGAGAGAGCAGAGGAAATAGCCGCTTTTTTAAAGGGAGAGAGACCACGCCCCAATGGGCTGGTATCACAGCAGCTATTGGTTGGAGGGGCGGAAGGACCTCCCGCAACATTTATGTTTGTAGACAGGCTCCTCAGCAAATCTAGGGCATCCCATTCAATGTCTTGTCCTTGTGGTTTTTTCACCTTAGTATCTGCCCATTGCAAATGGCTACTGCCCTACTGGCACAAGGAGACACCACAGGGCAGATAGCTCCTTCCGAAGGAAATGAGACGATGAGTGGAGCCCTGCCTTCCTCCTTTGGCTCCCTTGATCAGTCTTCTGACTCTGTTGATCATTCAGAAGGTAAAAAGTTCTCTGCTAACCATCCATTCCTCTGCATCCCTACAGTTGGTGTTTCTGCACTAACCCTAGGACTCAGTTAGCTCAAAAGCAAGAAGATCTTGAGCCATACCTATCTGTGGCACTTTGAAATACCGGTACATTATTAACCCTTTAGACTCAGAGTTGGTGATAATTTTTCTAAGAGGGGAATGTGGGCAGAATAGAAGCCTATTGTGTATTAGGTCCTTAGTGATTTTAAACAAGCCATCTCCACTTACAGAGCTACATCTCCATGTATGATGGGATTGTTAAGAGGGATAGCTGAAATGCAGCAACTGATCCCCCATGACTGGGGCTAGTTGGCCAGAACTTGTTTAAACCTGATGAATTCCTTCATTTCAGGATTTGTTGGCCTTTGACAATGTTAGCAGAGATTGTCAACAGACCCTGCACACAGTTCAAACAGCTAAAGGCATTTGAGAAGATTATGCGGGAGCTCCTTCTGCTCCTTCAGGCAATAGCCATTGAGATACCAGCCCACTCATAGGAGCCTGCAGCAACATTGAGTCTCCAAGCCTGCTGGCTCTGATATAGGACAGCCTTTGTGTTCTTGGGCCTCCTTGCCTTATGCCTGTTGTCTGCCTTTGCTTCTGCCTTACCAAGCATGAACATTCTTGCTTTTGTTTATACCTTTTAATTGTAAAGACACAGATGTCATCACTTTCTGGGTTCTTAGATGTTTCTTTTAAATGCCCTTTGGGCACAGATAATATTTAAAAAGTATACAGGCACATGCTGTCTCAGTTCTCTGAAAGGCTGACTCTCAGATGGGATTGGACCAACTACTTCAGAGCCAAGCATGCTTGCCTCAAGTTTCTTTCCAAGCTCCATGACTCAGGCTGTCCCTCTGACTCAGTGACAGGAACAGATGGAGAGGTAGATAGATAGATTAGATAGATAGATAGATAGATAGATAGATAGATAGATAGATAGATAGATAGGTGAGCATAAAAAGAACTAATGAGAAGAGTTAGTACTTTAAAACATGGCTAATGTGTTAGGAGAAAATGAAGGAACTTTAAACAAAACACAAGCTGCTACTAATTATTTACTGGTAAAACATGGTGCTGACTGTTTACTAAACTGATTTGGAATGAGTATATGTTATATACTGTGGTAGTTGGAATGTAATTTGTTCCCATAAGCTCAGAGGGAGAGGCATTATCAGGAGGTACGTCATTGTTGGAGTAGGTGTGGCTTTGTTGGAGGACGTGCATCACAGTGTGGTAGGCTTTGAGGTCTCATATGTGCTCAAGCCTCATCCAGTGCTTCAGTTCACTTCCTCTTCCCTGCCAATCACAATGCAGGATTCTCAACTACAGCACCATGTCTACTTGCTCACCATCATGTCCCACCATTGGAGATAATGGACTAAACCTCTGAAACTGTAAGCCACCCCATCAAATGTCTTCCTTTATAGGAGTTGCTCTGGTCATGGTGTCTCTTCACAGCAAGAGAAACCCTAAGACATATACCGACATCTCTCTAGCAATGATGTGATCAGTAGGGTGTTGACACCTTCTCCAGACTGTGGGCAGATTCCGATGCAGTTCAGGTTCAGGTTCAGGTTCAGCGGGTTCATCTTCACGCGCTGTTTTTGATTTTTCCTGGGAATATACAAAACAAACATCCATTCACCCTAGGCAGTGCACCAACAACAGACCAAAGTCCAGCTCGATGAATAAATGAGGATAACTTACAGAAGCCTGAGCAATGAGTGACTTACATAGCATGGGCAACTCAAAGGCAGATGTGCCCCTGGCAAGACCATACCAGCATAGGAGATAACTCACAAAAGCTACAGCCCCAGATTTTTCCGAGTAACCCACAACCAGCTTATCAGATCAGTTTCCTCCAGACAGCTCAGCTGCTCAACCTCCTCTCCTTAGTGTTTGATACTGCCTATATCACCTTGGGAGAATTGGACCTGGTGAATCTAATAAGTTTCAGGGACTTCTTGACAATTGTGAGTTTATTTCCTGAGTACTAAGGAGCCTCCCTCCAGGATGGAAATGTTTCAATTTAGAGGATATTGATAAAAAAAAAAAAAAAAAAAAAAACCTCCAACCTTCCTACAGCTCTTACATTCTTTCAAGCCACCTCTTCCAGAACATTCCCTGAGGCTTAGATGGATGACATAGATGTTTGATTATTTTCCTCCATCTGAGATTGAGCATTGGATCAGAATGTCACAATAGTCACTTAGTCTCAGGAGTTCAGGTGGTTATGAGGCTTTTGTGGTACACCACTGTAAAGAGGAAGTTTCCTCCCATGGCGGATTGGAGTTGACAGAAGCAGTGACCTATGGGCAAAGCACAAATATGCAGGAGACAGTTTGATAAGGTCACACCCACTCAACAAAACAATAGCAGTCGTTTGCCCACAGAGACCTGTGACTCCTTACCCATGGCCTTTACCCCTGGCTTACAGTAGCGGACGCCAGTTCCTGCCTGCGGGGTAGCCCTAAAATCCAATCAGAAAGCTGTCAGACACCTGGGCACTAGCAGGCAGCCAGCATGGAGCCTCCGGGCACTATCCAGTTCCATCACACTTTTATTTTCCTGAGTTCTGCAACCAAAGCGTGTGTCATCTTCAGCAACCGGGTTTCACCACATAGTTCTTGTGTACACGTCATAGCAGTGATGGTAGCCCTTACTGTTTGGGGGACTCTGGGACCTTCCTGATCAGAGCTCTGGCAGTGGACCCTTTATCCAGCCACATTAAGTCTTAAAAGGTGTGCCTTTTTACTAAATACTTTAACTTTTATCTTAATTGTGCTTCTGGGTTAGGACATGCAAAGGTGTAGACAGGATCCCTGAGGGCTCACCATCATCCATTCCAAACAAAGGCATTTGATCTCAGGCAAAGTCAACAGTAATGGAAAGACCTCACTGCTTCCATCAATTGTTCCATCATAAGAGCCAAGGCGGTACAGCAGTACAGACGTCAGCAACCACTTCTGTTAACTCATTAAGCCAGTGAGGAAGAATCACTCCACATTCGAGACCGATTTATTTAAGGAAAAGCTCTATGATAGTGTTTGTTTAGCTGGGCTAATGCCTAAGGAGAGTTGGACACGAACAAAAGAATTTACTAGTGTACATATACTTCAGGATTATGTATTCCACGAACACTGTCACCCATAAGTCTGTTTTGGTCCCAGGACATACTTCAATATAAACAGAGACAGGAGACTGCAAGCTTGACCACTTAGGCAGACAGAAGATTTACACAGCATGGATCTTCTGTATTTCCCAGGATTGTTTTAAGCATACCAGTGTTGTCCTTTAAGTTTATTTTCTTTCTTTTCTTTTCTTTTTCTTTTCTTTTTTTTTTTTTTATTTTTCAAGACAGCGTTTATCTGTAGCTTTGGAGCCTGTCCTGGAACTAGTTCTTGTAGACCAGGCTGGCCTCAAACTCACAGAGATCCTCCTGCCCCTGCCTCCCGAGTGCTTGGATTAAAGGCTTGCACCACCATGGCCTGGCTTAATTTTTTTTTTTTTCGGAAATAGTTGTTACCAAGGGTCATCTTGTCTACCTGGAAGAATTACGCTTTTCTGATAAGAGAACAGGAGATTTAATGGCACAGTTGTGAGCCTATGCTGCCTCCCAGAGCTGCCCTTCAGAATCTTTGGGAATGGGAATCAGAGTCTAATGGCTGAATTTAAGTCAGTGCTGTTTCTTTAGTCTTGGGACTAGAGTCCAATGGCTGCTCAGCCCTGCTAAACAAACATCCACACCCTAGCATCCTATAGTTCCCTTATTTCTGACAGGCCTGGTTGGCAAACTAACCTTCGGAGTATTTGGGGGGCAGTTTTCCCCTAGCTAAATTCTACTTGTATGACTTACTGAGACTTACTAAGCACATCTATTAACACGTCATTTCTAGCATCAATTTTACTACTTTTTTTCTGCCTCTTTCTTTGACTTTTTTCTTTCTTTCTTTCTTTCCTTCTTTTTTTGTTTTTCAAGACAGAGTTTCTCTGGATAGCCCTGGCTGTCTGTCCTAGAACTTACTCTGCAGATCGGGCTGAACTTGAAGAACTCAGAACTCAGAGATCTGCCTGCCTCTATCTCCTGAGTGCTGGGACTAAAGGTGTACACCACCACCAGGCAAGTTTCTTTTTCATCAAAAGTACAAAAACAAGATTTCTGTGACCTTCATTATATAGACAAATACTGTGATTGGCGTCCAGCACAGGGAACGTTGTCCAGAAAGCATTAGGAAGGTATTTGTGCTGTTTAAACAGGCTAATCGGCAGGGAGTAGTGAGCTCCTTAAATGTCTGGTCTCCTTCTAATCTTTGGACGGAAGTATTCAGCCACTCTAAGTGATCCCTGAACAAGGAGACAGCATGGGACAGCTAACCCCTTCAGATAGAGAGAGAAAAGATGTACATGAGCCCCATCCTAATCCCTTGGCTCTTCCTACTTTCCAGTCTTCTGACTCTTTTGATGATTCAGAGATGAAAAGTTCCCTGCTAGCTGCTCCTCTGCATCCCTGTGCTCCTGCATCAGCCCAGGGAATTGGTGAACTCAAAGGTAAGGGGGGTTTGGAGGCATACCTAACCTCCTCTCCTGTGGCCCTGGTGACTTCTAGCCCTTTATACTGAGAGTTGATAATTTTCCTCAGGAGGAATACATGCAGAATAGAAGCCTATACCCTATAAAATACTTAGGAATTTTAAACAAGCCACATCCTTTTATTACAGACTTACATATTCAAGTATGATGGGATTGTTGAGAGGGATAGCTGAAACAGAGCAAATAAAGGACGATGAGAAAGCTTACCACACCTTAGTTTATGCCTTACCAAGCCTGGATACATCTGCTTCTGTTCCTTCTTTCATTCATAAAGACACCAGTGGTACTACTTCCTAAGTTCCTTAGGTGTCTGGTATTATCAGCTCACTGAAAAGCTGCATCTGAGACAGGATCTGGCCTGCACACTCAAGACCCAAGCATGATTATCTCAAAGTGGACTTCCTAGTCCCTATCTTGGGTCAGGCCAACCCCCTGATTCTGTGACAGGGAGAAACAAACAAACAAAAACCTAAGGAAGATACTGTGTGCTTTAAAAAAAAAAAAAAAAGCTAATGATATATGTTCATAGGAAAAAAAATCCTGCTTAAAAATCTCTCATTAATAACTTCAGCTGCAGCCTAGCAGTGGTGGTGCATTCCTTTAATCCCAGCACTCAGAAGGCAGAATCAGGTGGATCTCTGTGAGTTCAAGGCCTGTCTGGTCTACACAGCAAGTTCTACGACAGTCAGGGCTACACAGAGGAAACACTGCCTCAAGAAATAAAAACAATGAAAATCCAGCTATGCCTGCCTAAAATAGCCACAGCTGTGTATACAAAAAATATTTGTGTTGGTGTGAATAAGAATGACCCCAATAGGCTTCTCCGTTTGAATATGTGGTCTCTACTCAATTGAACTTTTTGGGAAGGATTAAGAGGTGTGACCTTGTTGGAGAAGGTGTGTCACTGGGGGTGGGCTTTGAAGTTTCAAAAGCTCACATTATTCCCAGTTAGTGCTCTCTCTGTGCCTCTTACTTGTAGATAAGAATGTAAGCTCTCAGCTACCGGCTTCAGCATCAAGTCTGCCTGCTCTCCAGAATAAGTGTCACAGAATGTCAGTAAAGGCACTCCTGAGCAGCTCAGCTTTGAGTCCCCTGGTTCTGTTTCATCTTGAATTGTATGGGCACTGGTCGCTGGCAGGTCTCATCAGGAGGAACATGAACACCAGAACAGCTCTGACTACAGTGTTTAGTACCAAACAATGGGGCTTTAGATAGATACTGTACTTAAAAATAAATCACTAGCAATGGCGGCAGGGTTTCTCTGTGTAGCCCTGGTTGTCCTGGAAGTCCCTTTGTAGACCAGGCTGGCCTTAAAATAAGAGCTCCACCTGCCTCTGCCTCCCAAGAGCTGGGACTAAAGGCAAACACAACCACCACTGGTTGATTGGGGAGGGAGGCAAGCTAAAATTGCCTAATGACATATTCTAAATTTGGTGCAATTTCTTACATGATTGCTCTACAAATAATAGGATATCATTATGTTGAATAAGTGTGTTAAATGCATGGATGCCCATACTATGATGTACATGTGAAGAAGTAGTTTTCTCCTTACACATGGGTCCTGAGGATTGAACTCAGGTGGTCACCCATTGGTCATCACTGGTATGGAAATTTTAATATAAAAGAGACAAGCAACACAAATTTGGTAAGTGAACTTTAACTGGGTAAATGTCCAGAAAAATAAACGCTATCGCTTCAAATGCATTTTCTTTCTTTTTTTTTCTTCATTTTGATTTATGTAGTATATGCACAGGTATGTGAGCATGCATGTACTACAGTGTGCATGTAGAGGCTAAACGGCGACTTACGTGGGCTGCCTATCTTCTGACACAGAGGCCCAGGAGATTAATTTATGTTGTCAGTCTTGACAGCTATACGGATATTTTGTTTGGGATCTAACACATAAAGCTTGACTGAATATCAGAATGTGGAGCTAAGCCACTAACTAGTCATAGATGCCAGGCAATGGTGTCACATACTTTTAATCCCAGCACGTGGGAGACAGAGGCAGACAGATCTCAGTGAGTTCAAGGCCACCTTGTGCTACCTGAGATCGAATCTGTCTAAAGAGAAACAGAGCTTATAATGGTATATTATCTGTATTTTCATAAACAAATCTTGCCTGGATATCAGAGGCAAAGGTAAAGCCAGTAGAGGTAAGGTAATGGTGACAGACCTTTCATCCCAGGATTTGGGAGAGAGAGGCAGATAGAGCTCTGTGAGTTCAAGGCTACCCTGGGCTACACAAGATCAATGCAGAAACAAACCCAGGTGTTGGTGACCTACATCTTTAATACCAGCACTAGAAGGAATATAAGATGGGAGGAGAGAGGGGCTTAGCTGGTTAGTTTGCACCCAGTCTTGGTAGAGGTGAGACTTCTCCAGTGGCTTGGCTGCCTTGTTTTTCTGGTTTTTAGGTTGAACCCCAATTTCTGTCTCTGGGTTTTTATTATTTGTGCTACAACTGGCACCCAACATTTGGGGTATGAATTCATGAAAAAGCCATTTGCCTGAGGCACCACCAACAGACTGGGGCTGCACGTGGGCTCCAGCGCCACCTCTCCACTGTGGGTTGCAGGATCTCCTGAACCCCCTTCTTGGTCTGCTGACAAACTCGGTAGCTGCCTTGAAATCCAGTCAGGCTTCTACGGTTCTACGCAGCAATAATCAGCCTCATATCTTCATCAACATTGTTGGTAAATTTGGTAAGATAATTGGGAATTCTTAAAGAGAGGAATTAGTTAAAACAGAGAGTATCCCCCCAACACACTAAAAAATGAGAAAAACTATTATAATAGGGGAGTTTGGGTCTCTGTATGATAATATGTTAGTTTAAAAATGGATCAATTAAAGGAGAGGATATCTAATTTAGATGGGATTTATGTAACATCAATTGTAAATATTGTCAGCATTATAGTTTTTGTCATATCACCAAAAAGTTGATTAATCTGAGTGCTAAGATGCAGGACTTGGAAAAATCTAATAAAACAGATCACAGAGAGGTTCAAACCCAGACAAAAGAAGTTAATGGACAGCCAGTTTCAGCATTGCATTATATAGAGGGGAACAGTATAGGATTTTCAGACAGCCAACCTTGATATACCCTTACAGAAATTGCCAAATGGCAGAGGCACTGTTATAGCTAACTGGACTCCTGCTATAAATTTGGATTACAGAAAATTAGACCCAAAAGGTGTAAATTAGGAGGGATTGACTGCAAACTCTTAATGACTTCCAAAGATTTCTAGAAGACATTTCCCAGTTACAGCTCACTATTGGGGTAAAACCTGATGAACTAATTCATTTAAACAAAACCTTAGATGGCAACAAGGGCCTAAAAGTCCCAGGGAATTATCAGCTGAAATTGAAAGAGAATTGACTTTGATTGAAGAGAAATTACAGAAGACACATGTGAATCGTGTAGATTCGAATCTTAACTGCATTCTGGTCATAGTACTCTCCAAATATTCCCCTACAGGAATTTTTTGTTTTGTTGTGTTTTGTTGTTTTTTGAGATAGGATCTGTAATGATTTCAGCCACATAAGGCTGACACTTCTGGGTTCTAGGGGCCATGCATGTGCAGACAAGCCCTCAAGCAGAAGTGCCTAGTGGCTCCTGGGGATGCTAAGAGCCTCGCGTGACCCACGTGCTGCATGGATTACATCATCTACGCATGACTCAGCTAAGACCTTGTGCATATATGTGAGCCCGTCATCTGTGTATGACATAGCCACGTCAAGCCCCTATATGCATACGCTAGGAAGCTTTTAAAAGCTGAACGCGCCATCTTCCTCTCTCTCTCTGCACACCAACTTCCCCAGGCCTGTGCACGCCCCCTCTAATAAACTCCTAAGTGGTTTTGTTGCGTGTTCCATGTTTCCTTCTCACTAGCGCCAGGTAATTTCAGGATCTCTGTAACAGCTCTGGTTGTCCCGGAACTCACTTCATAGACCAGGCTGGGCTTGAACTCACACAGATCCACCTGCCTCTGTCTCCCAAGTGCTAGGATTAAAGGCGTGCACCACCACTACCCGGCCCCTAGAGGAATTTTAATGCAGAGGGAAGATATTATCTTAGAATATATCTTTGCACTACAAACTGAGCAAAAAATTAAAAACTTATATGGAAAAAGTCTCTGAGTTAATTCTAAAAGAAAAATTGAGACTTCATTAATTAGCAGAAATTAGAGTACCGTTTAATAATGATGAAATTAACAAATTATGGGAAGAAAGTGAACCCTGGCAAAGAGCTTGTAGCAAGCTCTTTTTTTTGGGGGGGGGGGATTAACAATAACTATTCCAAAAGCAAGAGAATTCGACTTATAAAGAGAATGAATTGGATCCTTGCTCACATTGTATGGGACACACTGATAACTATACTAATGCAAGCAAATCAGGAAAGGCAGATTAAAAGCCAGAAAATTTAAGTAAAGTGGAACAAAACCCTTATGATTCTGTCCAACTCAGAATTATATGCTATTCTTATGGTACTAAGGGATTTTAAAGAACCTCTCAACATAGTTACTGATTTGCAATGCAGAAACAAACCCAGGTGGTGGTGACCTATGCCTTTAATCCTAGCACTAAAGGGAATAGAAAATGGGAGGAGCGAGAGAGGCTTAGCTGGCTAGTTTGCAGTCACCCAGCCTTGGTGGAGGTGAGACTTCTCCAGTGGCTTGGCTGCCCTGATTTTCAGATTTTCAGGTTGAGTCCCAATTTCTTTCTCTGGGTTTTTATTATTCATGCTGCAAGAGCTCACACAAAGGTGATCCCAACACTTGGGATCACACGCCATTAATCCCAGCACTAAGGAGATGGAGGCAGGAGTGATATAGGGCTGGGCAGAGAGAGGACTATAAAGTGGAAGGGGACAGGAGCTCAGTGAATTCAGTCTGAGCATTCAGTCTGAGATTTTATAGAGCCAGCATTCACTCTGAGGATTCTTAGGGACAGGATTCCCCTTTGATCTGAGGATTCAGCAGAGGTAAGAACTAGTGACTGACTGCTCTGCTCCTCTGATCTTCTAGCTTTCACCCCTGATAGTTGACCCTGGGTTTTTATTAAGACCAACTAGAATCTTTTTTTTTTTTTTTTAGTTTTTCGAGACAGGGTTTCTCTGTAGCTTTGGAGCTTGTCCTGGCACTAGCTCTTGTAGACCAGGCTGGCCTAGAACTCACAGAGATCCGCCTGCCTCTGCCTCCCGAGTGCTGGGATTAAAGGCGTGCGCCACCACTGCCCGGCGACCAACTAGAATTTGTATGACAGACAGCAAGCATGTTTACCTGAGCCAACTCGATGGCCATGATTCTTCACTTTAATAAGTGATTTGATGCTTGCTAACATATGAGTGGCTGGATGCCTACTCTAAAATCCTTATATTTATAGAATAATATGAATTCTGATGCAGTGAGGTAACGATGAAGCACAGTTTTCTACATCATAAATACTTTATCATTTTTGTAGTGTTTATGCTGACAGATGAGTAACCGATGGTACACATTTGTTAGAATCTAGACAGACACCAAACAGGTCATTCCCACTTGCAGCTGTATTTTTCTCCATCCTCATAGCTGATTCTACAAGCAGGACCAAGGCTATGGTCTCCAAGCTAATACTAGTATGGTACATAAAAGTTAACTAAAAGGGCCTCTCGTCCCCACCTCACACAAGTTCTAAAGGTCACACGTCTATTTCCTGGAATGCAAGGGCCCCTCCACCACCACCTGGGACTCGGAGGCCCCTCATCAACCACTTTCTATGGAATTCTCACAGCCCTGTGCTCTAATGCTCCCTCCCACAAGCTTTAGAGCCCTACACTGCCCTGAACTTGTGCTCCAGCACCCAAAATGGGCAAGGTGAAAAGCAAGTTACCCAGTATGAACCGGGTAAATGATGTGCGGTACACTTACTCTCAAGTCTGTATATACTCGATGTATACTCACATAGTTTGAGGTCTGCTTTTTTTTTTTTTTTTTTTTTTTTTGGATTTTCGAGACAGGATTTCTCTGTAGCTTTTTTTTTTTTTAAGATTTATTTATTTATTATGTATAAAACATTCCTTCTGTATATGCTTGCATGCCAGAAGAGGGCACCAGATCTCATTATAGATGGCTGTGAGCCACCATGTGGTTGCTGGGAATTGAACTCAGGACCTTTGGAAGAGCAGTCAGTGCTCTTAACCTCTGAGCCATCTCTCCAGCCCCGAGGTCTGAATTCTTTTGGGTGTTTTCTGGTTTTTACTTAGAGAATCCCCCATCTGTGTGAGCTTTTAATAACTGCGACAATGTTTCATATTAGAAAACCTTGTAATCATTAAATTCATAGGGCTACTAACCTCCTTGTATATCTTGAAGTCAAATCAACTGAGGCTCCATTAATTATACAACCGTTCTTACAGTCCTTCAATTCAAATGGTATTTCACATGTATGCATTGAATATGCAGAAAGAAGCCGTTTACAGTCCTAGGAAGCTGCACCCGTATGTGTTCCCTAGAGTTAAGGCCTGGCTTGTGGAAGAACATTTTCAAACATTCTTTACATTCATCAGCCTCACCTGCATGCAATCTCTGATTTCAAGTGAGGACCAACTGTACACAACAGGTTTTATGCAATACCTAGGGTTTCTCATATGAGTCACTCAGGAAGAGAGACCAGAGACACAGTAGAAACATTTAACGCATTCTTTATGTTCCCAGAGCTTGCCTACTTGAGTTCAGGGAGGTGCAAAGAGGGCAGATTTAAACTACAAACTTCCCCTTAAACTCTCAGTGCTTCTCACTTGAATGCAATCTGATTCTGAGAGAGAAATGAGTCCCATGGAAAAGCTTTTCTGCATTGTTTACATTAGTAAGGTTCCTTACCTGTGTGAGTTGCCTGATGGCGGCTGAGTTTTGATTTGCTGTAGAAAGCTTTCCAGCACTCTTTACACTGGTAGGGCTTCTCACCCGTGTGAGTTCGCTGATGCAGAGTGAGATTGGACTTGTTGTAGAAAGCGTTCTTGCACACTTTACATTCGTAGGGCTTCTCACCGGTATGGATTCTCTGGTGTGCAGTAAGGTTTGATTTCTGCCAGAAAGCTTTCTTGCACTCATCACATTCGTAGGGCTTCTCGCCTGTATGGGTCCTCTGGTGTCGAGTGAGGTGGGACTTGTAGAAGAAAGCTTTCCTGCATTCTTTACACCCATAAGGCTTCTCTCCTGTGTGAGTCCTCTGATGTAGAGTCAGAAGCCACTTGCGGCGGAAGGCTTTCTTACACTCTTTACACTCATAGGGCCTCTCCCCAGTATGAATTCTCTGGTGTTGGACGAGATGGCACTTGTGGTAGAAAGCTTTTTGGCATTCGTCACATTCAAAGGGCTTCTTGCCTGTATGAGTTTTCTGATGTCGAAAGAGATGTGACTTGTGGCAGAACTCCTTCCGGCACTCTTTGCACTCATAGGTCTTCTCTTTAGTCTGCGTTCTCTGGTGTTCTGTGGGTGGTGACTTACCATGGACAGCTTCATGACGGTCCCCACAGTCACAGTGTTTCCCACACGTGTGACTCTTCTTGTGCTGTGGCCTTTGGCAGGATGTTTCCACACAAGAATCTGGCTTTTCCTCTTGGTGTATTTTCTGTTGAACCTTTAGTTGTGCCTTAAGACAGAAGAATTTGTTTTATTCATTGTACACATTGTCCTAACTTGGCTTCCTAATGTTTTGTGAGGTGTGATTATTTTTAACATGAAACCTCAATTTTTCATCGGATATGTTTCATCCTAAACAAACTGTGTCTTGAACAATAAGTGCTATTTAACAAAAGATTTGGAAAATTCCCTGAAAAAGCCAGAGGTCTCTTGAATATAAAGTTCCTCCATTGAATATTTCCTTTGTGTAGAAAGATATTCCTGGTCAAATATGGCAGGTTGCTCTTCCCCCTTGCTACAGAGACTAAGACATACAACATATGGGAGGAGTTTCTCAGTTACCATAACTGGGCTCTTTTTGAGCCTATATGGTATAGGGCTTAGTATGGAGAAGTAGTACATTTCGACAGGAGAAAGATTTACAGGAAACCCCAAACATTTCCACTCTTAATGTTCAGATTACAAGTAGTCTGTGTCCACAATAAAAATTTTACTTACTTCAGCCCCTTCTTCATTAGATATATTGCTACTGGTGGTTTTCTCTTCACACAAATGCCTCTCTTCCTTTTCCTGGATGGTCTCAATTGGAACACGTGCTTTTCGAACATCTAAAATAACATAAAAATATCAGTATCCATGAATAACCATATTATTTATTAGCTGAAACATATTGTCCCTCAGTTTCCTCATGTAAATTTTATAGCAACATTGGATATGACAATCTATTCTTTCTTTTGTTTGTTTGTTTTGAGACGGGGACTTTTTATGTATCCCTGGCTGTCCTGAAATTCAGAGAGATCTGCCTGCTTCTGCCTTCCATCCAAGTGCTGGGCTTAAAGATGTGCGCTACCACCACCCGGCTGACAATTTAATTCTTAAATAAATTAGTCTAGCTCTGGCTGGAGAGATGGCGCAGTGGCTTAAGTGTTGGCCATGCATGCATGAGAACTGGAGTTCAGATTTCCATAATTCAGGCAGACTAGATTAAACATTGGATTTACAGGATCAGAAAGCGACAAAAGAACCTTAGGGGTTGCTGGCAAGAGACCTTAACGGATGACGAAGAAGAGCGATTAAGGATGATTTCGGGTATCAGACTCGGGCCTCCACAGTCAGACACCTCAGGCACCGTGAGCATTTCTCTCGGTGCCTCTGCACTTGCAGCGTCCATGGCTGCTCTTGGACAAACAAACAAGTAACAAACCCTCTACATAGGAACTGTCGGTGTCCACAGCATCTCTGGCTGGTGATGATTTCTTTCCAGGTTCTTAGAGCACAGGATGTCTGGTTTTAGAATTCCAAGAGATGTGACTTAAACGTAACCAGTTTCTTCTCCAAGGCCAGGCTGCTGCTACAGAGTAAGCCACAATGCTTGATTCACATTGCTTGACTCAATGGTCAGAACACTGTTACCGCCTCCACTGAGGAATGCTCGTCTGCGATTTTTAGGTCTATGACTTTGGTTCTCCTACCCAAGAGGAGAACTCACCAACGTAGCTAGCCTCTCAAGTTTTTCAGGATCTTGTTGTTATTATTGTTATTCAGTCTTATTTTTAAGTCTCTGTCTCTCTCTGTCTCTCTCTCTCTCTGTCTCTGTCTGTCTCTCTCTCTCTCTGAGTGTGTGTGTGTGTATTTTGTTTTCCATCGGACAGTGGTGGTGATGAATGCCTTTATCCCAGCACTCAGGGGACAGAGGCAGGAAGATCTCTGTGAGTCAGCCTGGCCTACAGAGTGAGATCCAGGACAGGTAGGGTTGTTACACAGTGAAACCCTGTCATGAAAACGAAAAAGCAATCAACCAACCAATTAAACAAAAAACCCATATACATATACACATACATACATACATATTTGTTGAAAATATAAATACATAGATATAAATTTTCCCTCAACAAAACCAGCGAAGTGGCTTGAAAGGGAGAACTCTCTGAGGACTGCGAAAGCCATGGGTCTGGTTCCCATGCCCAGCTGTCCTCAGCAATGGTGAAAACAGCACACTAAGACCAGCAGCCAGCTATCTCTCTTCCGGCTCATCTCCTTTATCCAGTATTCACGCACAGACCTGGAAAGTTCCAGACTGAGGCTTCTGCTTTACTCCAAGGCCCAAATCCATGCTCCAACTTAATGATCAGCGCAGGTTTGGCTGTGCAGCGCCCTGCAAACGGAATCATACAGACACGGCGTCAGAGTGCTGTCAAGTCCCATGAAGAAAGACAACGGCCCCATTTTTGATTTGCATTATGGTGAATGCATTCAAATTTGCTAGTTTTACACTCATGCTCTTTAGTCTTTGGAATATTACTCTCAAGTAACACAATACATGGTAAATTATGCAACATAATTTTCAAAATTTCAATAAGCAGATGACAAGAGGAAACAAAAAGATGAAGCTGGAAAGACAGCTTTGATGCAGAATATTATTTAAACTGTGCTATATTCATCTGTGCTGTGGAACATTTGTTTAGTGATGCAAAGATGTGTTGCATTCTTTTATGTTGCATTCATTTAACTCTGTAAAGCTGTGTCACTTTGCCTACCTAAAACACCGGATTGGTCTAATGAAGAGCTGTCTGGCCAATCGCTAGGCAGGAGAAAGGATAGGTGGGACAGGTCTGTAGAGAGAATAAAAAGGAGGAGAAATCTAGGCTGAGGAAGACACAGATGAGAAAGGAACAAGAGAGGAGAAGGAGAGCAAGATTCCAGGGTCCCAGACTCCCAGCCACACAACCAGCCATGGAGTAAGAAGGAAAGAACGGAATAGAATGGGGAAAGGTAAAAGCCCCGAGAGAAAAGGTAGGTGGGATAATATGAGTTAAGAAAAGCTAACTACAAATAAGCCCAGCTAAGTCTGGACATTCACAACTAGAATAAGTTTCTGATTATTTGGGAGCTGGGTGGCTGGTCTCTAAAAGAGTTAAAAAAAATCCAACTTAAATGCTACTTAGGACATCCTAGACAGAGATAGTGGTTTTAAAAAGAACCAGCCATAAATTTTCCTGGAGTTCTTAACTCTGACCTTGCACTTGGCCATTAGAATAACTGCAAAATTGAACCCGGACAGTGATAATGCAGAGAACAAAGGTTTCAAGTTCCCAACAAAACACAAAATCAATTGGAAGTTTCAGAATCTGATGCCAGGAATAGAAATTAGTATCGATAATAAGAAATGCATGAAAGGCAGAGGCAGGTGGATTCAAGCCTGTGAGTTCAAGCCCAGCCCGGTATACAAAGTGAGTTCCAGGACAGCCAGGACTACACGAGAAAATCTGCCTTGAACCCCCCCCCCAAAAAAAAGAAAAAAAAGAAAGAAGAAAGAAATACATTTTTATGTTTCCTTAAAATATAAATACAGGGACTGGAGAAGTAGCTCATCACAAGGGCACTTGTCCAGTAGTCAAGAAGTCCTGATTTCAGTCTAAGCACTGAATAAACCAGCGCTGGTCACATACTTGATTCCTAGATCAGAAATTCAAACTGTGCTATATAAGAAATACAAATCCAGTGTGACATACACAAGACCTGTGCCAAACAAACGAAACAAAATATGGAAATACTACATAACAATAGTCTTCCACTGTTAAGTATGTGTGTGAATAAGCATATACATTTTTGCAGAGAAACTTGCACCATCCGCATTGCTGTAGCACTGTTCATATAACCTACAATACATAATCAAGTCGGTGATGCTCAACAAAAGTGGTAGAGAGAATGTGGCATACACACACCTGCATGGGCACAGCTGGACGGGAGTTTTGTGAATGACAGAATAGCCTGGAATGAGCTGCAGCTCTGCTCTGAGCTGCAGGAGGCTTAGCCGCAGCGGTGGTAATGAGGTAAGGAGAACCAGAGAGCAGATACCTAGGTCTCCCATGAAGGAGAAGGGGCTGATAACACCCCCTCACAAGACTCACACAATCACGCAACAGATTCCGTGAGGGAATGTGTCTGCTCATCCTCAGGGTTCAGAGTTTTCAGTAGGAGCTGCTTGAGATTCATCTTTGCCGTCTGCTGGATGAAACTCATTTATTCATCAAGATAGATAAAAATGCACGGAGCTTTTATTCTGTCTCCCCAGCACTGGCAGAGGACATAAGTAAAATACGACAGGCACAGAAACAGAACCTGGCATGTTCCTGTCAGGCTTACAAGCTATAATTTACCTCAACGCTATCAAGTACTGGTCTCTAGAGTGTGGAAAAGATGCAGGAGAAAGCCACAGATAAAAAAGATGTGTGTAGCCACTGGGGTGCCTTTGGAAGGAACGAGAAACCTGGAGTGCTCAGTAGTACATTGGTGAATGTATACCTGCCAAACTACCTGAGTATTTCATAATAGCCGTCAGGAAGTTTTAGATGATCCTCATACAAAGGATATCCGAGCCGACAGACTCACCAGCTACCATCATCTGATTATTACACACCAGCAAGTGTATCGCAAAGACACACTGTCCTACATGAATACGCATGGGAGTGTGTCTCCTAACATGCCTATCAACTTACTATGAGCAGTGAGCAATGCTCTCTCACTTATCACCAAGCAGAAAGCTAGTAGGTTTAGAGAGGTTAGCCTCACCCACGAACACCAGGCTGCTGTAGGTCTCCAGCATCACATCCCTGTAGAGCGTCCTCTGAGCAGCATCCAGCTTCTTCCACTCCTGCCATGTGAAGTCCACAACTACGTCCTCAAATGACACGGATCCCTGTAATGACAGATGAGGAACAAAAGGGGCTGAGGGGTAGGACTATGGTTTGATCAAGTAAGACCCCTGAGAGGTCTCCAATAGGAATCATAGCCCAGGTGACCCAACATCCAGAACAGCTTCAAGGCAACTGGCTGAGACAATATAGCCTCACAGACTAGTACAGCTAAGATTTAACCATAATCCCAAACTTTCTCAGGATCCCCATAACATTACCAATGCTCCCAATAAACAGGAACTAACATAGAAAACTACTACCAAATTCCCAAAATACTATTTATAAATGTTTGTTTTCATTTAAAGGAGATTGATTATAAATGATTAATGGTCATATTTAATCTCTTTCTTAAAAAAATGGGACTATGATATAAAAATAATTAGAAAGGTATATTATTAAATCTATTTTAATCCAAAAAAACAACTGTTAATCTCAAATACTTTACATTGGTATAGATTTTGGTTTATTGATACAAATTTAAGGTCAATTTTGTTATACTTTGTGTATATTTCTACCCTTGGTTAAGGTATTATATTTATACAGCTCATTTAAAATGTAATATATAACTAAGAAATACGAATTAGTAGTCACATGGGAGTCATGGGAAGGAGAGGAGGGGAGGAGGAGGAAGGGGCAGGCGCAGAGAAAAAAGTATAGCTCAAGAAAAAACAATTAAAAAAGACAAAAAGAAAGACATGAAGATGGGAGGAGCATGTGTTGGGGAATGGGAAGAGGGATTGGCAGTGTCTATGACCAAGATACATTGTATCTAAGAATGAAATTGCCAAAGAATAAATAAAATAAAAAAACAGATAAAAAACAAATTAGTAGTCATCCATAATAGTCAAACTTATAGTCATATTAGTTAGGTTTTCTAGATATACAGAGATATATTTCAGATGGATAGGTAATCTTCAAACACCTACAGAATATGGCATATAAAATGTTCTAAGAATTTCGACTTTTCTTGACAGTGAGACACATCTGTTCCTGGCAGCATCAATTACTTCAAGAGGATGATGGGCATCAAAGAAGCTCCCTATGGAGTTTGTTTTCATTGTGGCAAGGTAGCCATTTCGGCAAGAAAGTGCTCTCAACTGGACTGTGTGACAGCATGCTGTATAACTGGACATGTGGGACCCACAGAAAAGTGACTGCTGAAATTGGCAAAACAAGATGGGATAGTTCTTCAGGGTTCCTGTTTCATGGAAGAGTCTGCCAGACATTCTGCAGGACACAAAAGAAAATGATTGACAAACTGCCAATATAGAAAGTACAATTTCAAATGTCTTGCTTCACTGAGAAGTCTACCAGACCCTCTAGGCCTGTAGGCTGAACATGGATGACTCAATATTACAAAAGAACTTTGGGTGACTATCCAGGAAGCCAGATATATCTATCACTTCTAGAATTTTGGAAGTTACTTACAATGTACTTCTAGTTTACTGAGGTATTATTATATCCTTCTGGGGTCATTAATGGAGTTCAAGACTAGTTAGTTACAATTCTCCTAGTTATGACAAAAGAAATTAGATCTAAAATGTTAGGCTCACAAAGATAGGATAGATAATAAAATATTTCCTTTAATTTTGCCAAAAACAAATAAACTAAATATTATACTGTAATTCTTGTATGACAACTTTTTGTTATATGTAATTTTACTATGTTAAAGTTAAAATCTTCCTGTGAGTATGTTTTATGGCCAATGGTTAATAAAGAAGGTTATTTGATCAATAGCCAGGCAGAATAGAGCCAAGCAGGAAACCCAAGCAAAGACACAAGGGAAAAGAAGGCAGAGTCAGAGATGCCAGCAGCCGCCTGTAGACAGGCTGCTCGTTTGTTTTCCAGCCGCTCAGACCTGAAATAATCACACTGAAACTATATTAATCAAAACACTGTTTAGCCTATTAGCTTAGAATTCTTTTTAACTAACTCTTATATCTTAAATTAACCCATTCCTATTATTTTATATCTTACCACAAGGCTCATGGTTTACTGGTAAGGTTCCAGAGCATCTGTCTCCTTCGGCAGCTACATGGTATCTCTTCGACTCTGCCTTCTTTTCTTTTCTATCTCAGCTTGCAATTCCTGTCTTGCTCTATTCTATCCTGCCATAGGCCCAAGAAACTTCTTTATTCATTAACCAATAAAGGCAACACATATACAGAAGGACTTCCCACACCAGCCAACAGAGAAGCAAGATATGAGGTAACAAGTCCCAAGTCTCATGGTAAAATATAGAATAATAGAAATGGGTTAGTTTAAATTGTAAGAGCTAGTCTATTAGCCTGAGCTAATAGACTGAACAGTGTATAAAAAATATTAAGCCTCAGAGTGGTTATTCGGGAACTGGCAGGCAGAAAAGAAGTAATACACTCAAAGAGTAACAATACAATTAAAAAGAGAAGGGAAAGGTTTGTAGGAACGCATCTGCAGACATACAGATCCAGACAGAGAAGTCGTGCAGACCCTGGCCAGGTTTTGAGTGCAGTCCCTATTTTTCTTAGGGAGCCTCTTATCTTTCTCCCCTGCCTCCTGTGACTGACACACCAGGACTCAAGACCTTAGGAGAGGCCTTTTTCAGAGTGGAGGAATGTGCCGGTTCTGGACTCGACAACTCCAGTGCTTCTGAGTCATACCCCACCAACAGTGTCTGCTCACCACTGCCATGACCTCCCAGGTGTGAGAAGGAGAACCCCACCCTCACCCCCCAGAGGTTGGTCCTGGGGCTCTAATGGTAGCCAATAGATTTATCAGTGCTTTTTGTGTTGGGAGGGGAGGGAGCGGTCAGGGTCATCATCTATGTACCTGTCTACACATCTTTTGCTACTTCTTCATGGATTCCTTAGGCATCCTCTTATATGCAGAGGACTCTTGGCCAAGTTCAAGGGTCATGAAGGGCAGACCCGTTCATGGATTCTGTGCATCTCCAACTGGCTCCAGATCTGCCTCTAGTGATATGTACAGGAGGCCAGTGTGCAACTGGGGGAAGGGGAGGAGAAAGGTAGTTAGTACCTGGAGGCCTGAAAAATGCCAATTCTTGATTGGGGCTCCGTTGGTTGCTTCCACAAAAGAAGGATAGACTCCCGAGGGCCCCAGACTTTGCTCTCAACTACTCTGGAGACCAGTGCAGGAAGGTCCAAGTTCAAGGCCACCCTGTGCTCCCTATAAGATCCTTTCCCAAAAACCAACCAAACAAACAAACAAACAAACAAAAAAAAACCCAAACCAAAAAACCAACAACAATAACAGCAAAGAAAACAAAGCAACACTGGGCAGGTGACTCTTGGCAAAATGTTTGCCTAGCAACCCCTAAGTTGAGCTTCAGTAAAAAGAGCACACAAACACATACACACACACATACAAGAGAGAGAGAGAGAGAGAGAGAGAGAGAGAGAGAGAGAGAGAGAGAGAGAGAGAGAGAGAGAGAGGAGAGAGAGAGAGCGAGCTGATAGAGGGGACCATCTGCTTCGAACAGTAAGAACGTGGTTCTCGTGGTCCTCTGGATTCCAACCTCGTCCTAGTGACCCAGTTTTTCAAGGAAGTGAGTCTTGCAGAAGAGGTGGTGAGAGACCCAGGGAAAGATGAACTAGACAACCGAGCCAACGGGATACGTGACATACAGGACTAGATTCAAACAGTCAGAGAGGCAGTCACAGCAGCCCAGAGATGAGAGATCCTGCAGATTCAGAGGAACAGTCAGAAACACAAACCCAGGCAGAGCAGAGCGACAGCAGCAGGTGGGACCCGGCGGTAGGAGGGGTCTGGGAAAGGCTGGAACACTGGGGCAGTTGTAGGAGGCGGCGAGCCAGGTGACTGTCAGCACTCAGAAGATAACAGTCCCTGAGGTTCCCAGAGCTGCAGGGAAAGGAAACCACAGCCCTATGCTGCAAAGGATATTTAAGAACTAGAGGCCCTGACCTGAGTACCCAGCTGAGACTGAAGACCTGGTTTCGAGGCACAGAGCTCCCCGTGAGTTCCCCGATGTGACCCCGGTCCCAACTCCCGCGCGGCGGTTTCACCGGCCGCTCGTTCCACTGTGGTCCTGTCCGGAACAGCGGCGCTTTCCGACCAGTTACAGGTGCCTTCCAGGCAAGACCGCTGACTCCAAGGCAGTGCTCGAAGAGAGGGTTGCAACAGGACCCCAGTCCCGGGGCAGAGAGCCAACAGGGAGTCTGGCTGTCCGGAGCCGGTCCAGCCCCGACCACACAGCTGCAGGCGACAGAGTGCACAGCTGCCCTCCCGCTCAGCACGCGCCTCCCTTACCATCTCCAGCTTCCCGAGCATCCCGAGTCCTCGCTCTGTTTCTCCCTGCACCACCCAGGCACCAGGCCACAGAGGTCAGCACAAAGTGTCCAGGATGGGCCTCCTGATAGGGGGCAGTACCTGACGACAGGTCCCAAGATGGCTGGTCTGAGACAATAACGGGCCCAGCAGACTGGGTCTTTGCTCCTGATTGGACAAGCCTCACACTAATGTTTCTGATTGGACAGAACCTCACGCCTAGAGCCAGAGTGACAGTGGCTGGATCCAAGCTGTTATTGAGTGAACAATAACAGGTTGTCTTGGATTTTTCTAGAATTTTTGTAGAATCTAGCCCCAGTGGAAGAGTTACATTTAACTTCGTACACATTAGCTTATGATATATATTAGAGAGATAGATGATAGATAGATAGATAGATAGATAGATAGATAGATAGATAGATAGATAGATAGATAGATAGATAGATAGGTAGGTAGGTAGGTAGGTAGGTAGGTAGGTAGGTAGATAGATAGATAGATAGATAGATAGATAGATAGATAGATAGATAATGTGTGTGTGTGGCAAAATGTTTGCCTAGCAACCCCTAGGTTGAGCTTCAGTAAAAAGAGCACACAAGCACACACACACACACACACACACACACACGAGAGAGAGAGAGAGAGAGAGAGAGAGAGAGAGAGAGAGAGAGAGAGAGAATCTTATCCAACAATGGTCTATGGTCTGACCAATTTAATATTTCTGTAAAATTCTACTCTTTCGAAGAGACAACTTGAACCTTGATGGAAGCAATTTCCTAAAGCACCAAGTTATAATAAACTGTGAGAATTTTAAAGCTTTTAAATTAAATTTTAGAATAGTATACAGAACGATGTTTCACGTAACACTCCCATGCACTTTTTTCTTTATTTTTTTGTCCTCATTCAGTCTCTCTTCGTATGCTCTCTGTCTGTGCCTCCGACATCTCTCTGGTTGGTTGCATTTCTTCCTGTTGGCAAGCCCTTAGCATTCATATCCCAACAAGTGTTCATAGGGACAGGCAACATGGCAAGGCGGTTAGGGGTGCTGTGAGATGTCCAGCTGGGAAGACTACTCAGACAGTTGTTCAAGCCAATCGGAAGTCTTTATTGGATGGTGACTACACTGTGTATCTGAGAGCCCAGTGCAACCTCGAACCTTTCTTGGGCTGGGCTTTTAGACACAAAAGTCATACTGTGGGTTGACACAGCAGTTAGCAAGAACAATTAGCCAGAAACAGAACTACAAAGGCAAAAGGTCAAGGTTGGTGCATCTAGGGACTTTCCCAGAAAGATTTGATGGATTTGGTCTTTGCTATCGTTTTGGCGGGAGTTGCTGCTTATGTGCTTTCAAGGCCTGAATGGTACTTCCACCAGGGCGTCAGCTGAGCCAAGGTCTGGAGGCCTGTTACAGGGCACTTGCAATAATAGTTGTCACTAGTGTGATACTAACACAACAGTAAGAAGATGCCAATACATATCTGTGATGAATGTTGTAAGATTAGCAAAGATCAGAGATGCGAGGTGTTCAATAAGAGAAATCAACCACTTCCAGCGGTTATGTAACTTTCTAAGCCTGTTTTGTTGACAATTTTTGTGGACAGATCTATAAGATGATAGGTTTCCACAGAATATAATCCTCATAAATATTTTCTGAATTGACAGACAATATGTGCTTTCATGGTTACCTATGAACTAAGCTTTTATCAAAAACTATAATCAATTAAGAAGATATTCAACACAGCAGTATTGGTTAGTAAACTAAGCAAAGGAAAAGTGTTATTCTATGAAAAAGAGAAATAAACTACTGAGTCTTGAAAGTACACGGATGGATATCTAAGTACTTTCTGTAGTCAAATGAAGTCACCCTGGAAAAATACGTGACTATTTATGAAAAACATACATAAATTGCTTTATGTACTTTCGGGAAATGACTATCTCTAAAATATTAATTCCAGTAATATAATTATTAGGTTTTACTTTTGCTAACTGATAATTTTATCATAATTGTATAATGATAAGCTTAAAAAACAGATTCAAATAATGGCTCCAGTAATAAATGTATGTATGCATACTTTCATCTGGTTGATAAGACTACAAGTAATACACATGCCAAATGGTGCCAAGAAACTAGAAAGTCTAAAGTGAAACTGAAGTTATAGTCTTGGTCACACAACTTCGAGTCAGAATAGATGAACATAGAGAAACTGGACCCCTTGCACATTGTTGATAGCAATTCATAATGTTGTGGCCACTGTGGAAAATAGTATAAAGTATGCCCAAATATTTAAAATCTCCATACAATATTGTACAGTAAATTCTAGGTTTGTTATATAAATCTGTTATCTGCATCCCAATTAGTGTGTACTTTTTTTTTATCATATTGAGAGATCAACTATGGCATGAATTCTGAGCAAAAGGAAATGTTAAGTAACTCAAAACAATTCTGCTTCTCAGTCTATGCATAAACTATTTCTTTTTTATTTTTTTTAATTTTTTTTATTGAGAAAAGGAAAAGAAAAAAGTTTCCGCCTCCTCCCAGCCTCCCATTTCCCTCCCCCTCCTCCCACCCTTCTCCCCCTCCCCACACTCCTTTCCCCCTCCCCCTACTCCTCTCCCCCTCCCTCTCCAATCCAAAGAGCAGTCAGGGTTCCCTGCTTTATTGAAAAATGTTAAAGACATTAGTTTCCTATTATTTCCCATCATTTAAAATTGCTACTTAAAGTAGAAATAATTTTTTATAATTGTCTTTGTTTGTAGACAACTAAATATATGCATAACAAAAGAATATTCTATTTTAGTGCTGAAGCAAATTTAAAGAATAATTATGATGAATGATTTTGGGGAGAGCAAAATCTGAAGAACATTATGTACTCTATAAACATTAAAAAATATGTCAAACATATGAATAATTGTAAATATATTTTTGAAAGTGTATGTTACTCTTTAGGATATTATAAAATCAGCATCAAACAAATGGCATATGTTAGTGTTATTTTTAAAAAGAAATCAGGAAAATTTTATTTATGACTTCCTTTAAAATATAAATGCTTCATTTTGCATATTGCCACACAGTTTTATTTCTGTTCTCAAGGCACTAGTCCTATCTGGATCACAAGTGAACTGTGGTCAAGTTATGGAAGCTACACTTTAATCCATATTTGAAAAATGCACCAGTACTATCTGAATTGCTTTATAAGGAAACAATTGGTTCATTTCATGGTGTTCCTCTTGTAAAACTTCCCACATTGCCAAATGTTCAGTCAGCCTAGGTTGCATTTAATATTATCATTTATAGTGATTCAGATTTAGTCTTACAATCAAAATTTTCAGTTAATGAGGTATTTCTTATCTTGAGAAGTGACAAAATACATTAGGGCATGTCACTGGTTCTGTTGTATATAACTACAAAATAGTTGGCATTATTCCTCTTACTGATTTCCTTGAACATTCTCACCAAGTGAAAGGTTATATTAATTACTACTTTAAGTAATGTCTAAATCTATACCCAACAACATGCAGTAGCAGTAATATTTGGTAGTGAGTCTTAAGAAATCTGCGTGTTTCTTTTTTCCCACAATTATGTTTTGTCAATTAAATAAATTTAGGGAAAATCATAGACTATGAACCATACATATCAGGCAACTGTGATGCTACATCCGGTTACCAAAATCTCTAGACACAGAAAGGACTCAACACTGGAACACAAAATGGTTGGCATTTAGTACTCTAACAGAAGACATCAGGAAAAAAATTAACTGTAAATTGTTCATATCTGCTGAATATCTGCTTGCATGAAATTAGAAGCAGTACTAGAATTGTGGTTTGAAACCACTAAAGCATTATAGAGTTTGTAATGTAGCCATAGCAAATTGGTAAAGTTGATTAGAAGTCTGTATAATAATCTTTGTCTTGGTCCTTCTTCAGTCAGAGATGAATAAATCACTATGGATTCTGTGTCATAATCAACTTATGATGAAACTTGAAAAGCATATTAAGTTGGTCAGAGAATTATAAAAGTGCTCAAATTTTGGTGAAATTGTAAAGCAAACCAAGAATATATATAATTGGAGTATTTTCAAAATTATGTGATAAAAATATATGAAGAAATAAGATAACAAATAATAGAATGCTAGATACAAAAGTGTTTGATAATTTACTGGAGTTAATTTGAACATAAATATAAAATAAATTAATAATCAACTTTATTTACTAGAAAACTATCAATATTTCAGTGTGGATAAAAATACAAAAGTCGATAAGCTACTACTATATTTTGATATTTTTAGAACATATATTTTAAAAATAAATCAAGTTGGGCAATGGTGGCTCATACCTTTAATCCCAGGAGGCATTATTATCAGGTGTTATTCCAACATCTGTTCAAAGACTGGAAATGTCTCTTAACTATTTTTGAAAGTCATTAGGAGTCCGCAACCAGTTTCTCCTAATTTGTGCCTTTTGTGTTCTAATTTTCTGTACACTTATCCTATAAACTAGGTAATTGACAGAATCTTCTATCTGTATTTTTTCCAAAATCCCGATTTTGGCAAAAATTTCTTTATGTCTTCAAACATTCTTTCTAAATTATCTATTTTGAATCAGATATCAAAATGTCATCCATGTAATGGTAAATTATAGATTTAGGAATTTTTTATGTATTATTTCCAACGGCTGACATAAAGTATTGGCACAGAGTGGGGCTATTGAGCATTTCTTGTGGGACAATGTTCCACTTGTATCTCCTAGTAGGCTGAGACTAATTATAAATAGGCACTGTGAAGGAAAATTTTTCTCTATCCTCTTCTTGTAAAGATAAAGTGAAGAAACAATCTTTCAAACCAATAACTATAAGAGGCCACCCTTTTGGTAATAGTGAGGGCAAAGGGATTCCAGATTGTAGTGGGCCCAGAGGTTGAATTACCTTGTTGACAGCTCCTAGATCTGTCACCATTCTCCATTTACCAGATTTCTTTTTTACAACAAATACAGGAGAATTTCAAAGGCTGGTGGATTCTTTAATATGGTGAGCATCTAGTTGCTCCTGTACCAGCTGTTCTAAAGCCTGCAGTTTGCCTTCTGTTAATGGCCACTGTTTAACCCAAATTGGTTTCT